CTTCTTTCAAGGACTGTTTGTAATTTGTCATTAAAAATCATCATGAGTTTTCAATCTCCCAACTATTGTATTTAAGAAAATTGAGATTCCAACAGGGATGGATTTTGGCATTGATACGCCATACATTTGAAACCACCCGGTTGCCATATTTGTGGAGGGGAGTGTAAAATCTTAAAAAAATTAATATTACTTCTAGTGAAAGGCAGTTGCGATGACGTCTCCAGCAATTTAAAATATTTGATACATCTGAGAGTTACAGAGGAAAGGATTTAATAATTTCCGAGATTCCGTATATCAACTGGTTTATATAATACCAGAAAAGTTTATTATTTATATTCCTCAGATCATATTCCGCCATTTTTTTCTCCCAAAATGAAACGTTTGCACATGCGCAGTAGACTACAGCGTGTCGAGCGGTTCATATAGGCGGGACAAGAATTTGAAGAGTTTCCAATCCATTTCTTCAGGCCCGTGCTCAGATATCACATACATTCATAAATGTTATTTACCCCAAGCCCACCCATACGTTTTTTTAAAATAGGCTCTCCCTTTCGATGTGTTTGCATTGCTTTTATAAAGGGATTAGAAAAATATTCCCTGGAATAACCAAATGGGTTGAGGTAAGTAGCAGTCCCTGTGATCATTATAGTTCACGTACAAACTATCCTAAAACGTGTAGATTGACCTTGCTATTGTGGATATCGATACACACGGACTCGCGTGTTTTACTTCTTGGGATGGAGGACAGCCAAGACGATTGTTTTCCCACGATTAATATTGAAGATATACGTGTAGATCTTCGGCATGACTAGAATGAAAGAATAAAAATTAAATGTGACCTTAGCTACAAATATAATACAGTCATGTTAATGAGACCATCACCATTCAATCTGACCCAGATCAGTATATGCACCTTTCGCATCGAATATGATGACGGTTACGTCAAGGCAATTTGCAAAATTTTGCGGTAACGATAACAAAAAATGGCGAATGGGAATGACAGCATGTCCTCTTTCTCGCCTGTAGGCAAGATTCATAGATAAGATTTCCTTGGTTACCTGTATTTTACAGGCGAGCAAGCGAACCAGGCGGGCGCTTTTATTTTTTTTCATAGGGGTGGTAGGATCAAAAACACATTCCAAAATTATTTTATTGCATGATTATCTTACATTGTGTAAAAGTAGTATATTCAGTAACCCTACTATCACACCAAACTAGTTCTCACTACGTTCTCGAAAACGGGCGTAAACTGTGCACGAACGGATTTGACGTACTAAGAACCCACTAAGAACCGTTTGGGATCTGTTTACAAACTTCATGAAACTACTAGAACGAGTAGGTCCACCAGCACTTAGAGCATGCTCAACATTTTCTGGTGATCATCAAAACGTTGCCGAATCGGTTTTAAACTGTGTGCGAACTGAATGAACGTAGCTACAACGTTCGACGGTCTGTTTACGAACTTCATGGACTTTCCCGGACGGGGTATGTGATTTAAAATTTTGAATCGATTCAAAATTCGATGGCGACCATACCGTTCTGTAATCAGGTCATGATGACCTTCTAGTGACCCCCCTATCACACCAAACTAGTTCTTACCCGTTCTTGCCAGTCCTACGAAAACGTCCTAAAACGGGCTCAATCTGGCTGTGGTCGGGAAATATGTCTGAAATAATTAGCTTCTTCGTTCTTAAACAGTCTTCAATACGTCCATCTCGTTCGCAGTTCGTTCAGGTCGCACCAGGTCGGTGTGCAACGTAGTAGAACGCGTCCCTTAGTCTAGAAGGTCAACATGACCTGATTACAGAACGGTATGGTCGCCATCGAACTTTGAATCGATTCAAAATTCTAAAATCACATTCCCGTCTGAGAACGTTCATAAAGTTCGTAAATAGACGTTAGAAAGTTGCAGCTACGTTCATTCCGTTCGCACACAGTTTAAGACCAGTTTTGAAGAACGCAGTGGCAACTTGTTTGGTGTGATAGCTATATTTTTGCTAACTCGTTCATCAGCAGTGTTAAATACGTTCTTAAACAGTTTAAACCCGTTTGCAATTAGTTCTACCTCGTTCTCAACACGTCCTCGGACAGTTCAACTCGTTGTTAAAACGTCCCTAGTAGGATTGAAGTACGACGGTTCCGATCGTAGTACGTCCAGCTCGTCGTTAGTACGTTGTCACTCGTTCTAATTGTAGAACGTGACGACCACGAAAACATTTTGAGCATTGTCTAAGTTCTAGAGGACCTACCCGTTCGAGTACGTTCGATGAAGTTTGTAAATAGACTCTAAACGGTTCTAAGTACGTCCAGTCCGTTCGTACACAGTTGAAGCCCGTTTTCGAGAACGTAGTGAGAACTAGTTTGGTGTGATAGTAGGGTAAGGGACGGTTTATACTACGTTGCACATCGACGTGGTGCGACCTGGACAAACTGCGAACGTGATGGACGTATTGAAGACTGTTTATGAACGAAGTAGCTAATTATTTTAGACACATATCCCGACCGCAGCCAGATCTAGCCCGTTTTACGACATTTTCGTAGGACTGGCAAGAACGGGTAAGAACTAGTTTTGTGTGATAGGGGGGTTAGTGCGTCTTGGAGGGGGATACATTTGCGTATTGATGCTAAACCTGTTCCATGGGACATACTCCATTTCGACATCGAACAAAATGTTGGACTATTGGACACGGACGCCCTTCTCATTGAATGTATCATATCATTGACTTAACACAGTATCTGACTCTCGATGAAAACAAATAAAGGAGCTGAGGAACAATCGTTGAAATCACTGTGTATTAGTTTGACTTCAATCAAAGTTGAAAACTTCAGCCCTTGGAAATCAAAGATGGCTTCTTATGGGGAAATGTCACGTCGCAAAGAGGGAGAGTGGGGCGTTACATAGGCGTAAGTATGACCTAATCACATGTAACTCTTTTAATAAAAACAATCATGTGTATATCTTTAACCCCAACAACCATAATGAAAAACACACGAAAACAAACAGCTACCTATGGAGGTTATCGTAACACGAACACAGGGTTAGGGTTATACTGTAAAATCTGATAAACATTGCTTGTGTTTTCATTTTTGGACATATAATTTATAGGAATATACATTGTACATGTAAGTAGAAATGATGTACCTGCTATTAAAAGCCTATTTGTTGGCATCATATTAAATAATTGTATCATGATGCATACAGTAAGTGAGTGGATATAACTTTTGGCAAACTTCCTTTGAACCTTTGTTTTTTAGCAATTAGTTTTTGGAATATTTCCTCCTGTTTAATGTTATTATACACGTCAGTTGTCACTTCCTAGTTCGACCATTCTTCTACAATAGTATAGAACAAAATCAGGAGAAGAGCGTCTTTATTTCGTTTGTTGTACCAGTACTGGATTAGCCCACACACGGGATAAAGGTAGCGTAGTTTGTACATTTTGACAACATTTATTTTTGCATTCAATAAAGGGGAGATTTAAACCTTTCACGAACGTCATTTTCAAAACTTCGAAATGAAAACGTTGAGGCTTGAACGTTTTTTTTCATAGTTCTCATATCTCAATATTTATCTTTTATTAAATATCGTAATATTTTTTATTAATTTCCATACAGTTGGGGAATACCGTTTCTTTTAATATAATATTTTGAATAATGAAGAGCGTTATTATTGAGAATGGGTCACTTACCCAAATATACAGGTAAATATGCAAAGTGTTACATATATAATTTAAAAAAAATCTAAATGTAGGGGTACTTAGGAAATACTAGCCTTTGTTTGATTTATATTCACTGGGCTTGAACAGCCTTATTGTTCAATGAAAACACGACCTTGCTGTATCAGAGTATAATGATAAAACACATATACAGAGTGGCCCAAAAAGTTGGAACATTTGTTGATCATATTCAGAACAAGTATTTCTACTCCGAAATGCTCCAGATTTTGACTAAGCATACTTCAGTCAATTGTGTATCTGCTGTGAAGTTCAGGTGCAATCCATAATTTTAATGCATGTTAAATATACACATCTTGCAGTTTTTTCAGAAACTATCTTTCTCTATCGATTATGAGGAATTATTCTAAAAATGTAGCATGGAATCTCTGCAAATGGTCTCACGATGCGACTGTAGCACATCGGAACACTCTGACAACGGTAAAGTCAGATCCGTTGCCACAAATGACGGCCACAGGTTCGCATTCGATTCGATGTTCATTCACTGCACGATTACTAGATTAATTTCCTTCGGTACAACAATCAATCAAAGTTTCTTTCTGTTCATCGTATAGTTAAATGACCATAATGCTTCATTAGGATCTTTTTCTTTTCTTAAAATGAATCTACCACATGACTATGTTTTACCATCGAAAAAGTTTTTAATTTTTACCGATTCAAATATGACACTTGACACCGGATACCGTATAAATGACAACGATAAATGTGGGTCAAATATGCTCTAAAATCGAGATGAAAACAGTAAAATTAGACAATGATATCTATA